AGGCCGGAAGCGTGAAGGTCTGGCGGATGCCCTGTGCACGACAGAAGGCTCCCAGACGGGCAGAGGAAAACTCCCCGCCTCTGTCAGAGTGCAGACGCAGAACAGGAAAGTCCGAGCCGAAACTCTCTCTGAGCTGGAGACGAGCTGCGCGGATCCAGTCGATCAACACCTCAGTGACGTCACCCTTGCTGCGCAAGGGGAACACCGTGGTGTAACGCGAGTAGTCGTCAACCACCAACAGGAAGTAACGCTCGTGACCCTGGCCACGGACGCGGGCGGGGCCCCACACGTCCATGTGAAGAGTCTGCAGCGGAGCCTCTGTCGGAGGAAACTCGGAGGAGTGAGGGGCGGCGCGCTGCCGCCCCTCGACGCAGGGGACGCAGGTAGGGGCAGGCCCCGGAGGTAGGGGAGGTAGGGACCGGGGGAGACCAGAGACAAGGACACGTGAGGCCATGCCTCGGAGACGAGGCAGGGAGGGGTGACCAAGGCGGTGGTGCCAAAGGAGAGTCTGGTGGGACAGGAGACGACACGAGCAGGGCGCAGACTCAGGACCAGACCTGGACGCTGCAGCAAACACCTGACTCGACGCAGCTACTTGACCAGACTCAGCAACCGGAGGAGACTCAGTAGTCAGTGTGTACAGGCTCGACCCCGGCCGACGGGTAAACGTGGCCAAGTGTTGGCCCGTCCGAGCACACGTGCAGTGGGTCACCCGCTGACTCGCAGGAGTGAACTGGTCAACCCCCCTATCCTGTAGGTCAGCTCCACTCACCAAGTTCGTAGAGAACGAGGGGAGGTAGAGACCTGACAGGGTGCCAGAGGGGGCTGCCGGGCACGGTAGGACAGTGGAGAAGCTAGCAAGGACAGGACCCCCAGAGGGGTCCGCCAGGGAGACCGCAACCGGCCGACTAAGCGGCGTAAGCGTGGTGCGGTCTCGAAAGAAGGAGCGGGAAGCACCCGAGTCAAGGGTGAAGGTGTGTAAGGCCTGAGCCGACGTGGTACCTGAGAGAGCAGACTCACCAGCACCTGGGGCAGCAGACGCACTAGCACCTAGAGCAGCAGCCTCAATGCCCGGGTCAGGCGGAACACACAGGTAACAGTCACCCTCAACACTATCAGACACAGCATACATGGCAGCAAGAATAGCATCATAATCAAGATCAAAGATAGCAACCCCCGCCCTAGACAGCTCTCCCCAGCGAGGGATCTCAGTGGCGTCAGGGAACTGGTGACGCCACGCGTCCGTCAGGCGGCCGAAGCAGCGCTGGGTGGAGTGCGAGCCCCCGCACTGCTCACCAGTGCGGTCGCCGGTACGGAGGACGTAGGTGCAGGGACCAGTACCCCCACCTCGCTGACGCCCAGCGTACCACTCACGAAGCTGCTGGGGGGACGGGGTCTCACGACTGCGCTGCTGCTGCTGGCGTGGACCACCACCGGAGCCACTCCTCTGCGCAGAACGGCGACCAGCTCCACCGCTGTCTACGCCGCCTCCGCCACCTCCGCCGCCTCCGCCACCTCCGCCCCCTCCGCCACCGCCGCCGCCTCCTCCGCCTCCACTGCTGCCACCGACACCGCCACCCCCGCCACCACTCCCACCACCACCCCCACCCCCTCCACCGCCTCCACCACCACCTCCACCGCCCCCGCCAGCCCCTCCAACGCCCTTGCCCCCCTTGCCCTTGCCGGTGCGGCGTCTCCCGCTAGGGGCAGACGCAGCGCCGACCGACTCGAAAACAACGAGGTCGGCCGCAGCAGCAGAAGCAACAGAGGGCAAGAGGGGGGAGGGGGAACACCCCTCAAAGACGGGGGTGCGAGGGTCACCACGAGAGGCTCCTACAGCGACTATGCTCTTCTCTGCTGCTAGGAGGCGCTCCTCGAGGAGGTCAACGGTGAGTGTGGTGGGGCAAACTGAGAGGAAGTGGTCCCTGACTAAGCGAAGGGAGTCAGGGAGCCGGGTGACTATGTAGTAGAGGGTGATGTACATGGGGGGGGGGTTCTTGGCACAGAACTCAGCAGGAAGCGCAGCGCGGTAGCGAGTGTCGCTAGTGCGAAGGTGCGTAATGAGGTCAGCGACTGTGGGAAAGGCAGCAAGGTTAGGGAACAGGTACGGCAGCATGAGGCGGCTTAGCGCAGCAGTGGCAGGGGAAGAGTAGCGCGCAACTACAGCGTCGTACAAGGTCTGAGCACTCTTGTACTGGCTAAAGTGCGCACGCTCAGTGGTCGGTAAGTGGCAACGTACAGCAAGACGGGCAGCAGCATCGCGTGTGGCCCACTGTGAGCGAACAGTGCTGTCAGCAGTAGCAGGCGGGGCAGGAGAGGCACCAGAGGTGAGATCGAACAGGGAGAGTCCGTCTGCCCTATCGCACTGTAGGAACAGCTGGAGGTCATCGACCCAGACCTCAAAGTCAACAGCACGACCCTCAGCATCAAAGGTAAGGACACTGGGGGTAGCCATGACTGCAGTGGCCTAGCAGGGAGTGATCTCACCAGTCCGAGTAAGTAGGGCCGGGGCGCGCCAGTAGGAACAGAAGTGGCTCGACGGCAGGGCGGCTCGGCGGCTCGGCTGCTGGGCGGCTCGGTGGCTCGGCGGCTCGGCTGCTCGGCGGCTCGGCGGCTCGGCTGTTGGGCGGCTCAGCTGCTGGGCGGCTCGGCGGCTCGGCTGCTGGGCGGCTCGGCGGCTCGGCTGTTGGGCGGCTCGGCTGCTGGGCGGCTCGGCGGTTGGTGGCTCGGCAGCTCAGCTGCTGGGCGGCTCAGCGGCGAAGGGGCCGGTAGAGGCGGCGACGGGGCCGGTAGAGGCGGCTATGGGGCCGCGAGGGGCGGCGACGGGGCCGCTAAGGGCGGCGAGGTGGCCGCGAAGGGCGGCGACGGGGCCTTCAGGGGCGGCGACGGGGCCTCCAGGGGCGGCGACGGGGCCGCTAGGGGCGGCGACGGGGCCGCAGAGGGGCCGCAAGGGGCCTACAGGGGCGGCGACGAGGCCGCGAAGGGGCCGTAAGGGGCCTAGAGGGGGCGGCGACGGGGCCGCAAGTGGCGGCGACGGGGCCGCGAAGGGGCCGCGAGGGGCCTAGAGGGGCGGCGACGGGGCCTAGAGCGGCGGCGACGGGGCCGCGAAGGGGCCGCGAGGGGCCTAGAGGGGCGGCGACGGGGCCTAGAGCGGCGGCGACGGGGCCGCAAAGGGGCCGCGAGGGGCCTAGAGGGGCGGCGACGGGGCCGCTAGGGGCGACGACGAGGCCGCGAAGGGGCCGCGAGGGGCCTAGAGGGGCGGCGACGGGGCCTAGAGCGGCTGCGACGGGGCCGTGAAGGGGCCGCGAGAGGCCTAGAGGGGCGGCGACGGGGCCGGAAAGGACGGCAACGGGGCCGCTAAGGGTGGCGCGAGGGGCCTCTAGGAGGGCACGACGTGAGGGCGGCCTACGGGGCGCGCCTCGGGCAGAAAAACAGAGTTTGAGTTAAGTGGTGGGCCCTGAGAAGCGTTCCCACGAGGGAACCTGCTCTATACCATGTGAAGAATGAGGAATGAATGAACTAGGCAACAGGTGGGTACAAGTAGGAAAACCTAGAAGTGTTGTACCCCATATTGTCTACCCTACTACAGCCTACACAGACTATAGCATATAAGTTTGACACCACGAGCAGCACCTACAGCGACTATGCTAGTCTAAGCTGCAAGGAGGTGCTTCTCGAGCAGGTCGACAGTGAGGTATGTGGGGTCAAGTGTGAGAAAGTGGTCCCTGACTACGCGAAGAGAGTCAGGGAGGTGGGTGACTATGAAGTAGAGAGTGATGTACATCGGGGGCGGGTTCTTGTCTAGGAACTCGGCTTTGAGGGCAGCGCGGTAGCGAGTGTCGCTAGTGCGAAGGTGGGTGATGAGGTCGTCGATTGTGGCAAAGGCTGACAGCTCGGGAAAAAGGTAGGGAAGTATAAGGCGACCGAGAGAAGCAGTGGCAGGGGAAGAGTAACGAGCGACTACAGCGTCGTACAGGGCTTTAGCAGTCTTGTGCTGGCCAAAGTGAGCGCATTCGGCTAACAGTAGGTGATTGCGAATGGCTAAGCGAGCAGCAGCGTCACGGGTAAGCCACAGTGAGCGAGTCGCACTGTCAGCTGTGTCGGGAGGGGCGAGAGAGGCTCCAGACGTGTGGTCAAACAACGAAACGCTGTCTCTAGAATCGCTCAGCTGTAAGTCATCGAGCCACGTATCGAACTGGATCGGACGGCCCTCATGATCGAACGTGAGAACGTTGAGAGTAGCCATAGCGGGCAAAGCAGGGTGGCGCGTGACGAGCAGGGGGGCACGCAGGCAACAGGACGGCGTGACGGGCAGGGCAGCGCGCCTGGCACTAGGGAAGCGCGCGTGGGCAGATAAGGGCGACGCGGCTGCCAGCAGGGCGACGCGCGGGCAGGGCAGGGTGGCGCGACAGCCAGCAGGGTGGCGCGTGGGCAAGGCAGGGCGGCTCGGCGGCCAGCAGGGCGGCGCGCGGGCAGGGCAGGGCGGCGCGGCGGCCAGCAGGGTGGCGCTCGGGTAGGGCAGGGCGGCGCGGCGGCCAGCAGGGCGGCGCGCGGGCAGGGCAGGGCGGCTCGGCAGGCGGCAAGGCGGCGCGCGGGCAGGGCAGGATGGCGCGCGGCCAGCAGGGCGTCGCGCGGGCAGGGCAGGGCGGCGCGCAGCCAGCAGGGTGGCGCGACAGGCAGGGTAGGGCAGGGCAACGCGACTGGTGGGGTAGGGCGCTACGGGCAACGAACTAATCGGTGGGCCCTAAAAAAAAACAGTCCTGGAACAGGACCTGCTCTGAAACCATGTCAGAAACTAGACGAGGGAATGATTGCATCGAGAAGAAAGTTGGCACAAGGTTTAACCCTAATCGGGTTGTACCCCTCCTGGGCTACCCCACTACAACCTACACAATATTAACATTATAACAGTTTGACAGGCGCTTATCCGAGGCCTGCGCTTATATCCGGGGGCTTACGGAACCGTATACAGGCGAATTTGAGCCAGCATTTGATGCAATCTAGTCTATTTGCCCCATGTAGTAAGGCTTGCTTTTCAGTTCCTGTTTTACCTTATCCAAGACTGTGACCGGCCGCCGCTGGGCTCCTCTTATGAGATTCAGCAGCTCCCGGGCCTGAAGGGAAAGTTGAGAAAGGCAATCACAAGGGTGGGACACAGGGCAAGTTAGTCATGATGAGGTAGCAACACTCAATGGCATTGCCTGTCATCCCCCCTTACTCATCGTACCCACTCAGTCTCTCATGCAGGCACTCACTCACCTTAGACCGTGCTCGGTTGCTCTCCCCCACACCATTTACAATCTCCAGCAGAGACGGTAGCACCGCTTCCGCCACTATACCCTTCAGCCACTCCCCTTCCGCACGTGCCAGCAGCAGCAGCGCCGCACCCGCATTCTCCCTCCCCAGCATCGTCCCATCCTCCAGCACCCTCCCAAGCACAGCAATCCCGCCACTCTCCACAATCGCCTCTTGCCCTTCCCGCACCGCAGCCAGGGATGTGAGCAGCAGCACACAATCATCTGCAAGCATGGACTTGGAGTCTTGCTCCCGCACCACCGATAGCAGGCACGACACAGCACCCGCTGCCACAATCAGGGCTTTGTTCGGCCGGTACACTGAGAGATAGTAGAGCACGCGGAGAGAGATGCTGTGCAGTGGAAGGGGGTGCGGAGGGGTCGGGGCGACGTGGAAGGAGAAGGAAGGGGAGTTGAGGGGGAGTGTGGGGCAGGAGGAGGAGAAGAGGCGCACGAGAGGGGGGATGGCTCCCAGGCGCCCGATCTCCTTCTTCATGTCGTCGCTCTTGGCAAGGCTGAAGAGAATGGCAGCTGCGTGCTCCTGGATGGCAAAGTTTGTCTCATTCCCGCTGCCGTAGCTGCTGCTGCTGCCGCTGCCACTGGCGAGAACACCAAGGGAGCCTTGTATTGCGCTGGCCAAGCGACGATGACTGGTGCTTCCAGGGGAGCCCACACCTCGGGGAGCAGCAGCAGGATCAGGATCAGGAGCAGGAGATCTAGCACCGGTGGCACTGGGTGTTGCGGCATGGGCTGTAAGTCCCGCTGCTCTTCCCTCTCCATCTTCACCATAGTCAGCAGCAGCACCAGCAGGTTCAGCAGATGAGAGATTCTCAGCAACACTCTCCATCTGGGGCTTTAAATCTCGCATGATGCCAGCTCCACCACTGCTGCTCCCAGCAGCACCACCACCTGAAGTTGCAATTGCACCTGCACCCCTACCTGCAGAAACACCCACAAAATAACCCTCCCCATGGGAGGAGCTCCTCCTCCTGTGCTCACCTCTCCCACCCACACTCCCACTCTCTCTCTCACTCCCCTCACTGCCTGTATCCTCCTTAATCTCCCCTCCTCCTGCCTCTACAAGAGCAGCTATAACCGGCCCCACCGCCCCTACCGCTTGTAGAAGCTTCCGGCTCACGTCCTCAATTGCCAGATTCCTCACTGCAGCTGCTGCACTTTCCACTAACACCGGGTGCTGTGCTGCTTTTAGCAAAGCGAGCAGCGGCGGGATTCCACCCGCCACTGTGATGTGCTCGCGCCACCGAGCGCTGCGCTTAGCTAAGTGCCGAATAACCTCCGCAGCAGCGAGGATTCCCACTGGGTCTCCCTTGATCATCTCGCTTTTGAGGAGTTCGACAGGGTCCATTGCTGCCCCTGCTCTTTCCCTTAGAGATCCCTCCACTGCTGCAGCTGCAGCAGCGGCGGCAGCAGCGGCAGTGGTGGTTGCTACAGCTGCTGTTGATGCAGGTGTTGTTCTGGGAGCTGGAGGGGAGGATGAGAATGAGGAGGAAGAAGAGGAGGAAGAGGAGGCAGAGCAGGAGGATGGAGAGGAGGGTACAGAAGAAAAAGATGGGCCGGGTAGAAGCTCCCTCACATCATGCAGCATATCATGCTGTGTCTCATGCTCCACTGCCATCACTGCTGCTGCTGCTATGGCTGGAACTGTTGCGACGGTCGCTCGAGGTCTTGATGGGTTCGCTCGTCCCCCAGCCCTCGGTCTTGCTGAGCGGGACGAGGAGGAGGAAGATGAGGAGACGGAGGAAGGCGAGGAAAGTGAGGGTGAGAGGGATGCATCACTGGGCCCCCCAGCCCCCCCTGCTCCCCCTGCTCCCCCTGCTCCCCCTGATCCCTCTGCTCCCCCAGCCCCCCCTGCTCCCCCTGCTCCCCCTGCTTCCCCTGCTCCCACTCCAGCCACTTCTCCCGCTGCTCCCACTGCTCCTGATACCATGACGCCCATTGCCAACTGCTGCTGCATGCCTGTGCTTGCTGGTTCACCTGTATCCACTCCCATCGCATTTCCAACACGGGCTCCTCTTGTTCCCAATTCCAGCACAATCTGCCTGCATGGAACATCTCTTTCCAGCCCCACCCCCCCTCCTTCCACATCTCTCCAACCGTCTCCTATCCTACCCAGTTCAGCCACACCCACCTTGAATGACAACCCTTCAACCTCTCCTCCTCCTTCTTCGTCCCCTGCATCCAAACCCGCATGCTCATGCCTTGCACCTCCGCCTCCCCCACTGCCCTCGCGACTCCTGCCCTCTTCCCACTCATGCTGATGAATAAACACGGGTCCCAGGTTTTCCCTATGCGCCATTGCTCCTGGCATGCCGTCTCCCCCCTCTGATGAACCACGCACTTGTCCCTCATAAGGTACGGGCAGTCTAGGATCAAACCCAGAAGGGGGTTCAGATGCTGGGGGGGAGAGAGGGGGAGCAGATGCGTGGTGAGGTGACGCGGTGGGGAACGGTTGGTGGCGGTACGGTAGGGGGTGGGCCGGGAGAGGAGGAGAGGTGGGAGGAAGGATGGGGAGAACAGGGTTTTGGTCGGGACCCGAGCGTTCAAAGGAAGGGAGAGGGTCGGGTGGGGAGAAGTAGGAAGGAAGAGGGGCGGTGGGGGAAGTAGGAGAGGTGATGGTGATGGTGCTGGTGCTTGTGATGGTTGTGGTGGTGATGTGAAACGCACCGGAATCATAAGGAAGAGGCACGTCCATGTGTGACGGACCATATGGGCCATGTGTAGATGCTTGTGCAACAGGCATGCTGGGAGCTGCTGAAACGAGAGCATGGGCTGCAGCCGTGGGTGAATTACAGGCCGGTTTGGGGTTGTCCGCTGAATAATGCCTCGCATGCACCCTTTTTTTGGGGCTAGCAGCACGGGGTGAGAATTTGTGGGCGCTGGGAGGACGTAGCGGGGGGAGGAGAGACGAGGGAGGAGGGGAGGATGAGGAGGAGGAGCGAGGGAAGGCTGCGAAAGACCGAGGAGGAGGTGGGGATGAGGTGGAGGAGGAGCGTGGGAAACGGGAGGAAGGGTGGAGGGCACGAGCAGGGGGTGGCTGGGAAGGGTTTTGTGAGGAATGTGCAGGGAGGGAGGGGGGGTGAGAGAAGCGGGGCTGAGAGAAGACGGGATGCTGAGAGGATTGGGGCGGACAGGGAGCATATGCGTTGGATGAGACAGGATCGGGAGGAGCAGGTAGCAGCAGGCGCCTCACCCCTGCTACTGATTCTCCCCCTCCTTGCGCCCCACCATTGCTCCTGCTGCTGCCGTCGCTGCTGCTGCCATCATCGTACACAGGGGGAGGTCCGATGGTGCTAGCAGAACGAGGTGGAAAGGGTTGCGAGACCACCAACCCTGCTGTAGCAGCAGCAGCTGCTGCCGCGCTAGGTGCTATTGGCATTGGCACAGCAATGCATGCAGGAGGCGCAGCCATAAACAATGGAACCGTTGCTGCAAAAACAGCAGGAGTGGGAACACCACTGGAGCTAACCCATAGGCCAGTGGGCACATGGGCAGCAGCACCAGAGGTAGCATTGTTGGCGCTAGCGTGTCGTGCGTGGTGCCCCCTCCGTCGCCTCGCCTCCCCCTCCGCCCCATCCCTCCAGTCCTTGCTTTCTCTGCTCCCTCTCACTCTTTGCATCACCTTCCCTGCACTGCTGTACCTCCTCTCTCTCCTCCCTTTCCCTCCCTCCTCCTCCCCCTCCTCGCTCCTCTCCTTCCCTTCCCTTCTCTCAAAACCAGGATTTTTGTTCCTTAACCCTCTTTCCCCCTCGCATCCTCTCCTCTCCTTGTCATCCCTTCGCTCTTCCCTCGCCCCACCATCCCGCCCATCCGCTCCCCTCCTCACAAATTCTCCCCCCTTCTTATCCTTATTCTCCCTCCCCTCTTCCCTCGCTCTCTCTGCACTCCCTGCTCTCGTCCCCGATCCTCCTCTTTCCTTGCTCTCTCCACTTCCCTTCAAGCCAACCTCCCCACCTGTACCCACCTTATAATACGACTCGTCACAGCTACGGATCCTTCTAGCTGTTACAGGCCCCCCTTTCCCTTGCTCCTCCTCTTTCCCTTCTGACAACTTCCTCTCATCAATCCTCTCCGCTCCCCCCTTCGCCCTCCTCCCCTCCTCGCCGTCTCTCCCACTCGCCTTTTCCTTTGCAAATTCCGTTAGGAACTGCCTCGCTAACTCGCTTGTGACCCGTGGCTCCACCTTTCCATGAGGTTGCTTTCTGGAACTATCTCTAGCAGTGGATACCTCGCCTGCGCATGCAGTGCTCTCCCCAGTCCCGCTCTCCTGCTTGGTTTCCTCCTGCTGCTGTTTCTTCTGCTTCTGTTGTTGATGCTCCTGCTGTTGTTGTTGCTGCTGTTGTTGCCGCTGCTGTTGCTGCTGCTGCAGCTCTTTTGGCTGTTGCTGCTGCTGCTGCTGCTGCTGCTGCTGCTGCTGCTGCTGCTGCTGCTGCTGCTGCTGCTGCTGCTGCTTCTGTTGCTGCTCTTGTTGCTTCTTCTGCTGCTCTAGCTGCTGCTGCTCTTGTTGCTGCTCCACCTCCTCCTGTTTCCGACCCCCGTGTTGCAATACAGCAGCACGCATAGCAGCAGAGGGCACCACAGCCTCGCGACTCTGACCACTCCCAACCGTCCCTCCTGCCAAACCCCTTCCCACTGCGGCGTGCTCCCCCCCTTCTTCTGCTTCTGCGCCAGCTGCTGATAATACCGACGCTCCAGCTGCTCTAGCTGCTTCAATACTGACAGAACCGACAGCACCACGAAAGTCAGCTTCTACTACTTGCCCTCCTCCTCTCCCTTCTCCTCCTCGCTCCTCTCCTCCTCCCGCCCCTCCTCCTCCCTCGTTACCATTCTCCCCACGCCCTCCCATACCCTCTACCATTCCCCCTCGCGCATTCCCTTGATCGCACCCATGCCACTCGTCTTGCACACGTCCCTTCCCCTGCCCATGCCCATGCCCATGTCCTTGCCCATGCCCATGCCCATAGCCGTAACCATACCCATACCCATGCGCATACCCATATCCATACCCCGAAACCTGCGCTTGGCCATGCGAGTAACCATACCCTGTACTCCCATATCCTGCTAGCCCCATGCCTGGCGCTTCCCCAATCCACATCCCTGAACCCATTCCCGCACCCAAACCGGTCCCCATTCCCATGCCCATGCCCCCCATGCCCATGCCCCCCACGCCCATCCCCCCCGCGCCCATGCCTGGCGCCGCCACGTGCCAGCGCGCATCAGCGAAGCTCCCCCCTTCCGACTCCGTGAGCGACCCCGGTTCGCCCGCTCCCCCCGGCCCCAGGCACAGGCTGCGACTGCCCGCTGACGACATGGATTCGAACGACCGGCACTGCGCGCGGACTCCGCCCTCCGCGTCCTCCATCCCGTCCTCTTGCCCCCCTCCCTCGCACACCAGATCGGTACCCGGCCCTTCCTCCTCCTCTTCCTCGCTCGACTCCCCTTCCTCCCCTTCTTCCCCCGACTCCTCCTCTCCCTCTGAACCTCTGTCTTCCTCTCGCTCTTCCATTCCGTCGGCTACCTTTGCCGTTTCCTGCGCCTCCCATCCCTCGTTTTCGCCACCCGCCGTCCTCCCCTCAAAGCTCAGACTCTCGCTGCTCTTGCAACCGCCTTGCTCGGCCTTCCCGCCGGCTGTCCTTCCCAGCCTTTCATTTCCTTGCCTACTCGCCTCGATTATTTCTGTCTCGCCTGCGAGTGTTACGCCGGGCGCGTCTGCTGTCGACGCCGCCGCTGCTTCGAAATGCCTCTGCGAGTACTGACCAGGGAACATTGTCACGAGCGATAGTCGCGCCACCTCAGACGCTAATGACCTAAAATTGGAGTTTCTGAACAGCTGGTAATCCAACGGGATTGACTTCCATGTCCCTCTTCCTAAAAATTACCGAGACTCCCTCACTTGCCCAAAAGAACCTCACAAGATGCCGCTGTCATCGATGACGTTCCTGTACCGTAGAGAAGATTCCAACAGTAAGATGTATGCCCAGTCGCAGAGGGTCGCAGTGAGCGCAGTGAGTCGCAGGGGTGTTTTTCAATTGTCGAGCGGATAAACAACTTTCAGCCGCGCGGTAACTCTTTATGTTCGCTATTCTGAGCATCGACTCTACGATGTTCGCTCCTTCAGTGGCCATACGCTTGGCAAAGCGCGGTTGCCGGAGATAACGGTTACGGCTAAGTCGAGGGCTGCCGAAGTAGAAAGAAAATGTAATAAATACGGAAAGGGCATAAGCGGGAAAAATGTCGCACGATACGTAATCTTGCTAGGAAGAGAAGGGATGGTGTGCGGAGAAAACCCGTGCTCGTTGCAGGCGTGCTCTCTTTGTCCTAATGTTCGACCGTCCCGTGGAAGGCAGGCCAGGCCAACAGCAACAAGGCTTCGGGAATCGGGAGTTTGGCACAACCTAGGAAGCAGAAGTTCGTCCGGGAATGGTAGGCCCTTGGTCTGAACCGAGAAAGCCCAGTCACACTACCAATGCCTTGCTCCTTGCCCTTGACTTCCCTTCAAGGCGTAGGTGCACGAGCGTGGCTGCACGCGGTGCCATACGCAGACGCCCTGCGCACTCTGGAGGCGCAGTGGCAGGTGGCTTCATCATGCCGTCTTGGTCTCCCTGTCCCCCAGTTAGCCCTCGCAGGTCAGTGCTCCTGTGGACAGGCGATCAACGACATGACGGTGCCCACGATTCGGCGTCGCCACTGTCATCCACGACACGATGAAGTTCGCGCTTCGAGACTTCGCTGTTGAGGCGGGCTTCGCGGTGAAGGTGGAGGACTCTACGCTGTTCACACACATGGAGGCAGCTCGAGCGAGACTGCAGGGACAGTCGGTGGTGGGAGAGGGGACACGGGCTGGGGGACCGCTGGAGCAGAGGGCTGAGGCGGGACAGCCGGGCGGCGGGGCACAGTGGGGACAGCATCAGCTGCGGGGTCGGGTGGCGCGGGGGGCAGGTGGGCAGAGGGGACGGCAGGGGGTGCAGACCAGCTAGGGCGGAGAGGGGGGACAGCAGAGGCAGCAGCAGGAGAGCCAGCACAGGTCGCAGGCTCAGGGCGCCGCGCCTCAAGGTGTGGGCTCGGGGGCGGGGCAGGGGCGAGAGCAGCAGAGAGCGGCCGGGGGTACAGGGGGGGCAGCGGGTTTGGTAGGTGAGGTTCAGGGAGTGAGAGAGGCAGCAGGGGATCGAGCAGGGGGGTTGGGAGGGTTGGAGGAGGGTAGAGAGTGGGAGGGAAGAGGACAGGTGGGTGGAGGAGAAGATAGGGGGAAAGAGACGACTGGAGAGGAGGCACCGAGGGACCAGACAGGGCAGCAGCCAGCGCACCAGCAGGGACCAGCCGGACGCACAGGCTGTGCAGGCACCTCCTCCCGCATCCCAGACCTCACCTGCCACGACGTTGGGCAGACTATGATGATGGTTCTTGTGGATGTCTCCATAGCGGATCCACAGCGGGAGGGGAATGTGCAGCTAAGACGGTCGGCCCCCACACAGATTGGAGTGGCAGCAGCTAGGCGGGTGCAGGATAAGCTGCCTCACTAGGGGCCACACCTATAGGGGTTGCAGATGGCACCACAGTTTTACGCGTGCGTGGCTGAGACATTTGGGCTACTGAGCGAGCCGTTGCGTCAGTTTCTGGGGCTCTGCGCGAAGAGGATAGCAGAGCGGAAGAGAGATTTGGGAGGGGGGGATGACGGATCGGCACGGATATTTGAGACAGGGCTCACTACACGTCTCTCAGTGGCACTGCAGCGCACGCAGGCTCAATGCATCTTACAGCATGCGGTGCGGCAGTTGGGGGAATCCGACGTAGGGTGGATGCCCGCACCCGTCCCACTGGGTGCAGGGCAGGGTACCTGGAACCACATCACAGGGTGCTTCGAGAGTGTTGTCGATATGCAATATATGTATGATGCATATGTGTAGAGAGTTTAGTGGCTGTGCTTGAAACGCTGTGCACGCGTTGTTGTGCGGGTTGCTGCCATGTCTGGTCCCTTGGTGCTTCCATCTCCTTAGTCTCTTTCCCTCTCTCCTCTCCTCTTCCCACCTCCCTCTTTCTTTTCCCTTCCTCTATCTTTTCTATTCTCTTCCTACCACTCTCTTCTTTTCCCTACTACCTCTTTTCACTCCTTCATCTTTTCTTCTTCTTTCTTACTTCTCTCCCCAAATACTATATATATCGTCCTCATAGGCCAGTGGTCATGCCCAAATTTCTGTCAGAATCCCAATCACTAGACCATTGGGATAGAAGGGCTTGTTAAGTAGCGGGTCAGAGTGCGACCATAACCCCCCAGGCAAACGCGCCTGTAACCCCCCTAGGATCAATCGGGCATCCACAGTGCAGATCTACTGACACCCTCCCACACTGGGAGGCCCAGGACTGAGCACAGCGGCAACGGCCTACATGTGCATACACCGGGATTCGAACCCGAGACCACTCTGACATCGTGTCAGAATCCCAGTCACTAGACCATTGGGATAGAAGGGCTTGTTAAGTAGCGGGTCAGAATGCACCCATAACCCCCCAGGCAAACGCGCCTGTAACCCCCCTAGGATCAATCGGGCATCCACAGTGCAGATCTACTGACAATTTCCTCTTTTTGGAAGAACACTTATACTAGGCTTGTATTCGTATTTCCCTTATCAATTAATACAAATACAAGCCGAATTCTTCGGTTGGCGAAGTTGGCGAAGCCCCGTTAGCAGTAAAGGTCGAACAACGGCTGCAGCTGTACGCGATGTTGATGGTCGCGGTAAGGAATGTCGAGAAAATTCCTTACACTACCCTCCCCCTCAAGAAGCCCCCTTCGCTACGCGAGTGCGTGTATATCGCGAAAACCCCGGCTCCTCAGGTACACTTGCAGGGCAGGGTGGTTTTCAATGTTGGCCAGGGGCACCCAGCTATCTTCAGTTGGCGTGCGGTCCTTCCAGCGAACGAGGAACCCAATCCTCTTGATGCCTGTGGGGTGTCGAATCCGATGGCTCAGGATTTTCTCGGGCTCGATGATCGGCTCCGATGCAGGGCGAGTCATGGATGGTGGGCGGTGACGAGGCAGTTGGCTCGTGGTTGGGATGTAAGGGCGAAGCGGGCTGACGTGGAATGATGGGCTGATGTACCAGTCTGTCGGCAACAGTAAATGGGCGGTAACTGGGGTGATCATGTGGCTGATTTGGAATGGTCCATAGTAGCGCGGTCGTAATTTCGCTACGATGGGCAGTCTTACGTTCAGTGTGTCGAGCAGTACGTAATCCCCTAACTGGTACGTGACTGGGCGGCGGTGGCGGTTAGCATTTCTTTTTGCGATGACGTTGGTTTTTTAATTGCTTCTGCGGCTCTGGTGCGGGCAGCTTGCAGAATCTCGGCGAATTGTTGTGCGCGTGGCGTTAGGTTGTCCGGACTCGGCGTCATGGGCACTGTTGGATTTTACCCGTAGTTCGGGTGGAACGGGGACTGCTGCGTTTTCGCTGACGTGACGTTGTTGTATGCGAACTCGATCAGCGGCAACTGCTGCTCCCATGTGGTCAGGTCGTCACACGTGGCGCGGATCAGCTGCTCCATGGTTTGGTTTGTCCGTTCCGTTTGACCGTCGGTCTCGGGGTGGTACGACGAGCTGAACTGTAGCCTGGTCCCGAACTGCTCCCAAAGGTTCTTCCAGAAGTTGCTGATAAACTTCGTGTCGCGGTCGGTGATTATCGCGGCTGGTATCCCGTGCAGTCGAACGACGGTTGTGATGAACAGGCGAGCGATTTCTTCGGCAGAGATCAATTTTCTACACACAGCGAAGTGAGCCATTTCCGTCAGTCTGTCAACGACGACCATTACCGTCTCGTTACCCCCATGGTTCGAAGGTAACCCCGTGACGAAATCCATGGTAACCTGCTGCCATGCGCGCTTGGGCGGTGGAATCAGCTACAACTGACCCGCCATTCTTTTTCGCGAGCTCTTCATCACCTGACACGTAGGACATGAGCCCACGTGGTGTTGTACGTCGGTCAACAGCTCCGGCCAGTAGTAATACCGTTGCAGTTGCTGTCGCTTTTTTTCTACCCCGAAGTGACCCGAGGTAACCCCGTCGTGTGCCTCCTTCAGTAGCAGTTCCCTCAGTAGTGAGTACGCGGGTACCCAGATGTAGTTGGTGCCTGTCTTTACGTGCCAGTTGCTGTGAATTTCCGGTCGGGAAAAATGGGTCGGTGCGATATCCGTGGGTGAATAGGCGAGTAGGATGGCATGAAGTTTGGCGGTAGGGCGGGCGAGTGCGTCGGCGATATTTGATGCGCCTTTTTTGTACGTGACGGTGTTGTGGAAGTTGGACTCCAGATAGTCCAACCAGCGGATCTGTCGTGGATTGAGATTCGGTTGGCCGCGGAGGTACTGTAGTGATCGGTGATCTGTCCGTACTGTCACGTCTGCTCCGATGAGATAGCATCGCCACACTTTGAACGCGTGCACGATCGCCAGCATTTCGCTGTCGTGTATCGGGTAGTTGCGTTCGGGCGGGTGAAGCTTGCGGGACTCATACGCGATTGGATGAAGGCCATTCCCGAAGTCCTGTAACAGTACTGCTCCCACGGCGATGTCACTTGCGTCGGTGATGAGTTCGAACGAACGGTGCGGATCTGCGATGTGAAGCACGAGCGGCGAGCACAAAATTTTCGGGCCGAGAAGGCAGCTTGCTCTTTCTCCCCCCACGTGTACTAAACCCCCTTCCTCAGCAGGTCGGTCAACGGAGCAGTCAACTTCGCCATGTCGGGGACGAACCGGCGCACATAGTTGACGAACCCCAAAAAACTCTGCAGCTCAGTCAAATTTGTCGGCGCGTGCCATGCTTGAATCGTCGCGATCTTTTTCGGGTCTATTTCCACTCCGTCAGCTGAAATAACATGCCCTGAAAACTCCAGTTTGTCCTGTAAAAACTCACACTTAGAGGCTTTTGTCAGTAGGCGGTTCTCACTCAGGATTTTAAAAATTGCTTCGATGTCCTGTAGGTGCTGTGCTCGGTCTGTGCTGTGGATCAGTATGTCATCTAAGTACACGATGACGCATTTATCTAAGAGGGGGTAGAAGGCTTTGTTCATGGTCATTTGAAAAGTGGCGGGGGCGTTGGTCAATCCGAATGGCATGACAGTGTATTCAAAGGATCCGTAGCGTGTTCGGAAAGCTGTTTTCGGGCAGTCGGGTGGGTTGACGCGGATCTGGTGGTAACCTCTTCGAAGGTCGATTTTCGAGAAAACCCGGGCTGTGCGCAGTTGGTCGATCAGTTCGTCGGCTCGCGGGATGGGGTAACGGGATTTTATGGTAACTCGGTTCAGTGCGCGGTAATCGATGCACATGCGAAAACCCCCATCCTTTTTCGGTGTGAACAGTATCAATGCTGCGGTGACGAACTCTGTCGAATGAACTCCTTCTCGAGCAGGTAATCCAGCTGCTTCCTCAGTTCGTCTAGTTCGGGTTGGGTCAGTCGGAACTGTCGCTGTACTGACGGCTGTGCCCCCAGTTCTGGTTCTATCCTATAGTCATGCGGTCGCTTAGGTGGCAGTCCTGTCGGCAGATCATCCGGAAAAATCCCACTATACTGCTTCAGTAGTGCCGCCATGTCATCTTGTACGTCAGCTAGCAGTTTCCCTAAATCGCTTCCCTTGTCTGCTGCCTCGGCTTCCCGAATGACAAGCGCGTACTGTTAGAAACCAAAGGAAGTTAGAAATGAGAAAGAGAGGGTTTGGACTAGCAAGCAGTTGAGTACATATAGCAAACCCTAAGTTGGGCTGTACTCACTATTGAGTACCCCACTGCAGGCTAGACAAAGATAACATTCTGACACACCCCCATAGCCAAAGTGGGGTGTAATCAGCACAACAAGCAAAGCAAAACAAGCTCAGGGTGGATCACAAAGTCACCACACATTCTGAGCACAAGTACAAGAAGTAGCAGTTTATAGTTCACAAATATAAGCAAAGCTAGAGGCAATCACAGATGGTAAGTGAGGAGGAGGAGGGACTGTGAGAGGAGAAGAGATAGGACAGGTGAAGCTGCAGACACACGGGCAACAGGAGCGGCGCGCACTGTGGCTACCGGAGATTGTAGCCTCCGGACTACTGGAGTAACTGGCTCCGCGACTAACTCTGAGCTGCAGGAGCAACGGACCCACGGGCGACTGGCGCAGCAGGCTCGCTGGGCTACCGGAGATTGTAGCCTCCGGACTACTGGCGCTGCTGGCGACACGACAGCTGCCTCCGCCCAACATCCTCTAACTGTCTCACCCCCCTTTCACACACCCCCTGCTGCACCTCTAGCACTACTCATACTCCACCCCCTAGCACCACTCCATCGGCTCCCACACACCCACCCCCCTCAGCGGCAGCTGCAGCAGTGGGAGACGGAGGAGGAGGAGGAGTAGGGAAGACCACTCACATTCGTCACCCCCACACCCGCCACCCCCAAACCCTAACACAGGGTAGGGCCGGAGATGGGGGGGGGGGGGGTGCGCGACGAAAACAGGAGGGGCCGACGCGTGGCCCCCGTCAGTCGGCCCCCCCCAGGGTCGCCTCGACAGGCGACGGGAATCGGCGCCACGACGGGCGACGAAGGGGGGGGGGCCGCGCGGG